CCCTCCCTCCTCCCCCCTCTCTTTCTTTCTCTCTGTCTCCCTCCCCACCCCGAGACAGGGTCTTGTTCTGTAGCCCAATTTGTCCCGGAGTCACACAGCCCAGCTAGCCTTAAACATGCAGTGATCGTCCTGCGTGACACTTTTTTTTTTTTAGAATTCCAGTGAGGTAAATACTGACTTTGTCATCACTCTCCCCTAAGTTGCTGAGAGACTGTTTCTTATTTTCTTTTTTCTGTTTGTTTTTGAGACAAGAGCTCACTATGTACCCCAGGCTTGCCTAGAACTCCAGGGAATTCTCCTTCTTGACAGGCAGGAACCGCTATATCTGCTCCTCTCTCTTTTTTAAAGTCTTCCCATTTAGATGGGTGAATTTTATTATTCTGTTTTCAAGTTTAATGACCCCATTTCTTGGCATGGCAGTTCTAATAACATGCTGTGTGTTTTTATTTGGTATTGTATTTTTCCATCCTATAGTTTCCATTTGGTTCTTTCCCATAACTTCTGTTTCTTTTTTTAAATGACGTCTTTAATTTTTTCATATGTTTTAAGAGTTTCTGATCATGGCACTTTTATGGCAGTTACTTAAAAAAAAATCAACATCTGGTTCCTCTCGGAACAGGTATCAGCTGCTCATTCTTCTGCATTTGAGTTGTGATTACCCCCCTAAGCCACCCCCCCATCATGGTGGTTCTTGCCATGACAGGTGATTTTTAAAAATTATACCTCCAACAGTTTGTATACAATGCTAAGAGGTTTCAAGTCCCACTGAAGACGTGTTTTAGCGGATGGCTGTTCTGTTTTGTCCTATGCATCTCAGGTCTGATTTGACAGCCGAGGCTCTGGTTCAGCTGTCGAGCACTGCTGCCCCATTTTAACCTTGCTTTCTCTGGAGCTGCTGGGCCTCTCGCCACTCCCTGGCCACCAGAGAGGCAGAAGGGTTCCCTCAGTAAGGCGACCTGGGTGCTCAGAGACTTGAGCCTCTCGACGCTTTCGACTGATTGGATGAGGCTCTTCAACAGCAAAGAGAGAGATGGGCTTTACTCAAAGTTCCAGTTTTAAATGTTAGTCCAAATCCCTAAACAACCTCTTAGACATACATAGGATGGTTCTTGACCAAATATCTGGGTACCATGTCCCAGTCATGCTGATATACAAGATTATCCAAAAACAGTTATTTCATTTGCCTGTTCCAAGGTATATATTATACTTGTCAGGAGGCCCAAGGACGGGGGAAGATAGGTCTATATCATTTCATCCTCTGTATACCCATCCATCTGCCTATCTATCCAGCTATCCATTTGTCTATCTATCTATCTATCTATCTATCCATCTATCTATCTAGTTATTTTTGAGTACATGTATGTTTTGAGACAAGCTCTCTCTGCATAGCCCTGGCTGTCCTGAAACTTGCTCTGTAGACCACACTGGCCTTGAACTCAGAGACCCACCTACCTCTGCCTCCCAAGTGCTGGGATTAATGCTGTGAGCCACCACATTCAGCTCTGTCTACTTATTCCCATTTGTTTGACTTGAGTTTTCATCTTTTGCAACGTTCTGCTGAGCTTGGGAGGGCCCAAAGGCTTGGCTGTCCCTGAGGTGGTTATTCTCACTTGGCAACTTGGCATGCGTCATATTCTCTCTCTCTCTCTCTCTCTCTCTCTCTCTCTCTCTCTCTCTCTCTCTCTCTTTCTCGGAAGCCGATTTTGAATGACTATGGCTATTAAGGTTTATTGAGATAGTCATATATCCTTTTCATCCCAAGCCATACATCTCTGTCTATGAGGACTTACCGAATACACTGTAAGGACTTCAAACTATCTTCGGCTTTGAGCCTAGGGCTATTGGATTCCTGGAGACTCCAAAGCCAATATAAGTTGTTCAGTGCAGGAGAAATGAGAAAGTATCCCCAGGCTAGTTAAATCCTTATAAACTGATTTGCTTCTTAATGGTGAAAAGCTAGTTAGAGCTGGAGTCCTTCAGACTCTTTGACAATTGAACCTTTATACTTCAGCTTAAGTCGCTGAAGAGAAGGAGGAGGAGGAAAAACAGATGTCTCCAGAAAAGGGCATGAGGGAGAGCGAAACACACCGCTCTAACCTCAACTTTATTTGCATTTTATATATGTTATATATTTCATTTTATAAAAACAGTCAAAACCCAAACCACAAGATTTCACAGATAAGAGAAAAAAGCTGGACTGGACTTAATTCAATATTCCAGAGAATGCTCTTAAGGGCGCTCGGCAGGCTGCGTTCTCGCCAGACCACGCTGCTGACAATTCTGGAAAAAAAAAAGTGACTCTGATTCACACCGGGACACCACATCTCATAACACACGGTGTGTGCAAGAAGCTGTAATTATGAAATGTTTGCGTTAAGTAACATGGCTGCCTAAACACAGATGGTCCTCATTGATACTAATTGGACCTGACGTGGCCTTGGCCTGCCTTGGAACAGTTGCCGGAACACGAAGCCCACTTGGGTGTGTGCTCTCTGAGGGCCTCTGTTTCATATCGCCTTCATTACTGGTGGGACGGAGCCGGGGTGGGGGTGTAGAGTTATACCTTAGCATTGGGCCCTCAGTCTGTCTCAGAACTTGCTGAAAAAGTCTTTTACCCTGCTTAGAAGGGTATGCTCCTCAGGGGCTGGCCATACACTTTTCTTCAGTTCTTTCTCATTTGATTTAAGAAGAATGGCTTCCCTACAATCCCTGCTCTGTCCCCCATTGTCCGAAGCGAAGAAAAGATTTCTATTCTTTTTACAAAACTCACGGGTATTTCTAAGATGTGCTATATCCCTAAAAACATCCACAAAAGAGCCCTTCTCTAGCTTTCTCCGAAGCTCTGGGTTTTACCCACTGACCTTCCTCCACTGGGAGCCTTCAGATGCGAACGAAAAGCCATTGCTGCAGAACCACTAATGGTGGCCACACTTTTGAGCATTCACTGTGCCTCCATACTGTCCTGAACAGGGACAAACGCTTGCAGATTTTCTGCCGTCTGGTATAGAGAAGCTTGTGGATAAAGTGAAAGAGTAGCCTTAGACATTGGATGAAAATCTCTGCCTCTGGCATCTTTCAGATAGATTTTTCAGAGGGGGTCATCAAGGGCTGTAAAAATACTGTGACCTGTTAGTGGGCCAATGAGAAGGCCAAAGCCTTCCCTTCAGAGCCTGCCTTGTAGAAAATGCATCTCAGAAATTCACCCCCAAATCTCCCTAGAGCTGTGCCTCTATCAGCCTCTGTATGTCTGTGTCTGCTTCTGTATGCTTATGTGTCTTTTTGTCTCAGGATTGGTTTATTCTGGTGAAAGAAGAAATCACCTAATTATTAATTAACTTCAAACCAGTGGACTATTGGAGTAAAAAGATGCTAGTCAAGTTGACACAAAGACTCAACTTTATGAAGCCAATAAATCACAGTTTTGGTGGCAGCATGGAGAGAGACGAAGGTTCCGATGAGAACCTTAGCCACACAGTCTAGGCCACAAGGAAGTGTGTGTTCCAGCCATCCTGGGTGTGGTACACACATGCACACTCATGCACACATACTCATGCACAAACACACACACACACATGCAGGCACATGCACATGAATTACATTAACCTTGAAAGCTCTGCAAGCTTTGAGCAAGAATGCTCCCCTTCATGGTAAGTGTGAGCACTCTCTACATTACTAAGGGCTCATGAGAAAAAAATATAGGGTTTTTAGAGAAATTTCCCCGGATTTCCTCTGCATTTGGGTTGTCTCACCAGCTTTCCCCTGGGTCTCAAGTTCACCCAAGTCTCCTCAGAAAAACTCAGTTGCCTGATGCTACAATCTCATGAACCGAATCTTCAAAAACAAATCTCTACGTCTGCCTGTCTCTGTCCGCAGTTCCCACGATCCTTCTACGAAGGAGCCTGAGTGACACACAAGGAGGCAAGGGGGAAGGAGGGGTTGTGCTAGACGGAAATATGAAGAATGGCATTGTGGTCACACTCCGATGTCTGCATAGGTTCGAGGGAGACAGCCTATTGGAAGGATCTAGATATGGTAAAAGTGCCATCAAAACAGCGAATTAGGGGTCAGCCTGTGCCCACAGCTCCATGTAGAGAACAGAGCAGTGGTTTGTAAACAAGAATCCATGCCCACGAGTTCTACTTTTATCTACTTTAACTAATTCTTCCCTCGTTTTGATCCTGCTGCAGGATGCCACAACAACGCAAAGGAGGCAGGGGTGTTTCTTGATCATTTTCCAAATGTCCTCAGAAACTAGTCAATAAAAATCACAGTCAGCCCATTTTGTAGACAGAACTGTGGTAGTCTTCACTCGGGAGATAAGCATCAACAAGACAGGTTCCTCGCTTTTAAAATGACTTCCTCCCAGAAAAGCGTTGAGGAGAAGGCGAGATTAGCAACTCTGGTAAAATTTGACAATCAGCTGTTGGTAGTTTATGCAACCCCTCGTGAACTTTTCTGTTTTCATTTTCACTTAATTCTTCCATTTTTATTTTATTTGTCATCGTCACCAAACAGTTACTGAGTACCAGATATTTGTGATGGATGAACGGTCCAAGGTACACAGGAATGGACGAACTGACTGGTGGATATTAGCTGGATCAACAGGTAGGTGATTAGTGAATATGACAGCTAGTTGGGTGGACGGAGTGATGGACTGATGGATAGATGGATGGAGGAATGTATGAAGAGTTGAACAGACGATTGAAGAATATCTAATGGAATGACGAGGCAGCTCTGTGATGGATACTTTATTTTGTTTTGGTCACCAAGACAATGTGTCTTTCTGTAGCCTGTGCTGATCTTGAATTCAAGATCCTCCTGGCTTAACTCCTGGTGCTGGGATTACAGGCATGAGTCATCACATCCATGAGTATGTTCGTGCATGCGTGTGTGTGTTCCTGTATGTGCTAGTGCACATACATGTTTACGTGGATATGAGCAATTATGGAGAGTCCAGAGAATAACCTTCGGTACCATTTTTCAGGAGCCATCCACCTTTTTTTTTGCGTGTGTGTGAGATAAAATCTGTCGATGGCCTGGAGTTAGCATGGAAGAAGGAAAAGAAACCAGAGACCAGGGCTTCATCGTAACCATTCAGAGATATTGAAATAAAGTGATTTTCTCCATTCGGTGCTTTATGTTGCTACCTCTGCATGCTTACAAGATAGAAAGAGATTATGCAATTCAGCTAAGTGGAGAGATGGTGGTGATGGTGGTGGTGGTGATGGCAGTATCCAGCCAATATTTTAAACTAACCGAAAAAAATTGCCTGGCATAGTTAGCAAGACCTCTTGACTTGTGAGTGGTTAAATTTAACTCTTACTGGGTTAGTATTTCATTGACTTTTGGTGAGGCAAGATTTAATATTTTTGAGTAAAACAGATCAATCTGCTTTTGCATGAAAACTGAGGATTTGTTAGCCATGAGATGACTCTTAGTAACCTGAGTTTCAATATTTTTATGTAAAGGAATTAAAAACATTTCAATCAAATTTCCTTCCGAGGAGATATAGACTTTCAAGTGATGGGGAGGTAGATCAGCAAAATACGCCAAGGGGCTTGCTGAGCTGAAGCTATTTTAGGAGAAAATAGATATTTTTCAGGGTTCATAGTGAAAGTAAAACACAGAATGTACTTAAATCTCAGTCCACATGTCAAGAAACCCGATCCCTAAGCCACCACCTTGCCTAGAATTTCAACATCATTTGGACCTCAGATGTAAGCCTAGTGGTTATGCCCAGTTAGGACTGTTTTTAACCTCACCTTTTCTGAATTATGTTAGAGATCACAACCAAGTCAAATCCATCTTGTGAGACTCTTGTGTTCAGCATCCTCCCTCACGGCACTCTCGGCCCAGCTCTCCTGGGATTTCCCACCCTCCATGGTCCCCGCCATTGTGACTGCCAACATACAGCCAAAAGGAAGATATATCACTCCAGAGATGAGACCCTAAGAGATGGTGGCTTTCCCCCTTGAAACCTTGTTTTCTGTCCCAGAGTACTCACCCTGGGCAAAGCAAGATGTAATCGTGCCCATGAGAGGCCCTCTTGGCAGGGATGGTGAGGATATCACAGGGAAGTTGTCAGAGTAACTGTGGCAGAAGCCGCTTGGCTCCTGTTGAGTCATTGGAGCGCCTTTAGTCACACTGACAGCTTCAACACACTTGCAAAGGAGGCCTGAGCCGGAATCACCCAGCTTGAGACCAGGAGATGGTGCCTGTTCTCCCTGAAGCTTCAAAGTGAGTTTTAAATGTACCCGTGGGCACCTAATGACAGCTTTGTCTCTGTCAGAGATTCTTTGACCATCTTTAGTTGAATATGTGACACCTGTCAGAAACTCAGGGTCTCAGAAACTTTTGTATTTATAGAATCTTCCAGGTTTGAATCAATGGGTTTTGTTTTTCTAACTTTTTACTGGGATATGTTCCCATTAATATATTTTTTTTCTGTTTTGTAAGCTATTTTCAAGGCTGTGACCTCACCCCCTCCCCAAGCTTATGATTTGGCAATCATCCAAGCTTTCAGTAATAATGTTTTCTTTACCTGGTGTGTATTTGACAGTTTTTCATTATAATTTCTGGTTTGACAAATTATTTTCACGGGTTTTCTTAGTTTCTAAATGTGTTAAATACACATGAATACATGTTTTTGCTTTTTGCTGCATTTTAAGATACCATGGTTAGGGTGGTGTTCTATTTGTCTTTTAGTATTTGGGAAGTCTTTCTCCGGGGCTTAGTTTCTGCTCCGTAGTTATAAGTGCTTCAGGTGCGCACGAAACATGATTCCATTGGTAGCATGTGAGGTTCCACAGATGAGCGACACCTCAAGCTTGCCCCCGCGTATGGAGCAGATCTTCTGTTTCATTCTTATTTTTTGTTTCTCAATCCAACCATTTCCGAGAGGACTATTTAAATCTGTACTTTCTTGTCAGTTGGTTAACTTCCAGCCGGATCTCTAATGGTCTCCCATCATCAAGCAACCACACACATTAACCTATTGAAACTCGGTTATGTTAAAAGTCAACATTGCTGGAAAGGATGTTAGATGACACATTCATCAGACCCTGGGAAGGATGGGATTGGTATCGCAGAACAAAAGACCTTTCTCACAATCTGAGTGGTGTGAATTCACTCTCATTTCTAAGTCCTCTTGTCCACAGGTCAGTTCCTCTCTCCTCAGACCTAACTTCATGGAGGTAAAATGTGAGCTCACCCAAATGGGGCAATCATTAGATTGTTGGAATCGTGATCTGGGTGCTGAGAGACACAAGGCATCATAATTGTATTGTTACTAGTTCATTTCAAAACAACATGAAACCAGGAGTCTCATTCTCTAGGGGGATCTGGCTTCCTGACTGTATCATACTTCATAGGAACAAATTCATTCAACAAGAAGAATTCTGGCTCCTAAATATTTATTTACAGGATTGACTGAGCTCACAGATCTACTTTCTGTGGGGGAAGCCTCTATGCAGCAAATTTAACACTTGGGTAAATCAGAGCTGACCAAAAATATTGTTCTCTGGGTCATCTTGCTAGTCCCGTTATTATTGACTCCAGAAATATCCACTCACTCTTAGTGTTTCATTGATTGAAAGTCTTCACTTTCTCCTATTGCACTTCAGTGTGAGGAGCTGTTTAGGTTAAAGAGGCGGAAGCATCTGACTTCTTAAGGCTGTTGGGAGACTAAAGGTTTGATTGTGTCTCTTCTCTTCTCTGGACCACTAGTGCTGGTTTCTAAAGCTCATAGGCATGCCAGGTATCCTGGAAGTTGTTGGTTAAGGGTAGTGAGCCAGTATGCACTTCCGGGTGTCCTGGGATCCACTGAAAATTACTCTGAGAGTCAGCTTCAGGGTTCTCAAGCAAGGACAAGAGAAAACAGAGGAGGTGGCTCGGAATGAAGAAGTGGGGCTCTAATTATCTTCAAATAAGTTGTTAAACAAAATGAACGGTGATTATCCTCAAATAAGAGGCCTCTCCAGCCCTCTAATTTGTGGGGCCCATTACAAAATCTAGTTTCTTTAGGGTCCTTGAAAAGAGGCTCTGTTCACTTAGGGTGATATAACCCTTAGGGGATGGCACAAAGGAATTAGCTAAAGCCATTAGGAATCAAAGGACTGAGACAGAGGTGGGAAACAGCGCCATGGCTCTGGAATTAACCACAGGCGCCATCTTCCTGGAGCCCCAGGGTCCTAAGGCAGGCTGTTGGTTTGTAGCTGGCCTCCTTTGCTCGGGAACCCACTGAGAGGCTGCCTTGCTCAATTGGTACATCGGTGACACACCTGGCTTAGGACTGCCTTCGCTCATAGCTTCTGGAAACACACAGGCTGACTCAGGAGGGTGGGGATAACTTCAACTATTCTGTCAACAGGCATTTCTTCAGGAGAGTAAGCATCTCTACAAGATGTTGACTGAACTCCGTTGAGCCTGCCGATATTGCCTGCATGCACAGAGAAGTAACTATTCTTTCTGGACCTTGATTCCCTCCATTTACGAAACAAAGAGAATGACGGCGCCCATCTTGTAATGGGACGACTGGAGATTTACTGCATCCGAATCTCAGTACAACGCAGAGCCTGTGAAGCCGCTCCTAGGGATAGCCCTGGGGTCCAGACAAGCCCCGTAGTCCAGACACCAGTTCAACACGTCTCTGATTCTCTAAGGGCAATCATGTGAAGGAAAAAGGGTCCCCAACTTCTTGACATGAAGAAATTTCAAGAGACTTGGGAATCCTGTTGACGCCTTCAATTAAGGATGTACAGGCGCTTACCAATAGAGAAGCAGGCGAGATCTAAGGTTTACACTGGGCAATCTGAGGGTATAAGGGTCTGCTGGCCACAGAGAAAGAATTAGAATGAAGATTATTGGCTATCGGGTACACATTCTATTATTATTGTTGTTGTTGTTGTTATTATTATTATTATTTATTGTTATTATATTTTTCATTATTTAAAACAATTTTAAATTTAAATATAATTTGATCATATTCTTCCCCTCCACTAAGTCTCTCTGTATCTTCCCTCACTCCCTACCCACCCAACTTTAAGTTCTGTCTCAAAAAAAAAAGAAACAAAAATCCAATATAACAACAAAACTCCCCAAAATCAATAAAGGAAAATAAAATTATATCCCCCCAAACCAAACCAAACCAAACCAAACCAAACCAAACCTAATCAAACCAAACCAAACCTAACCAAACCAAACCAAACCAAAGGCAACACCCTCACCAAACTGTAACCAAATAAAAGCACATACACATATGCACACACCCCCAAAACAAAAAACCAATAAAAATAAAAAAAATAAAAACAATCCTGTGTAGCCTTACTATATGTTGGCCGACTTCTTCTAAACAGGAGGCCTGTGCTGGAGTGGTTGATATTCCCAGGGTCACTCTACTGGAGTGATTGACACACCCAGTGTCACTCCACGGAGAAAGCTGCGTTTTCCTCTCCCAGCAGGTGTCAGTGAGTATTCAGTTACTAACCTTTTCACCATTCATTCTTAAAAAAAGGAAAATAACAAAATAAAATATAAGATGAAACAAAAGTATCACAGAGAAGTTGGGCAAGACAAACCAAGAGAAAGAAAATAGCCCAGGAGACGACACATGAATAAGAGACCCACCATTTGCTTCCTCAGGAGTCCCATAAAAACACCAAACTGGAAACCATTATCCATGTGCAGAGGACCCCGGGCAGACCCATGCAGGCAATGTGCATGCTGCCTCAGCCTCTGTGAGCTCACATGAGCTTTGCTCATGTTGTTTTAGGGGGCCTGGTTTTCTTGGTGTCCTTCACCCCTTCTGGCTCTTACACTCTTCCTGCCTCTTCTTCTGATGGGTTCTCTGACCTCTGAGGGGAGGGATTTGATGGTGATGTCCAGTTTAAGGCTCAAGGTTCCAAGGTCCCTGTCAGTGTGTGTAAAGTCTGCCTGTGGGTCTCTATATTTCTTTCCATTTGCTATGAGAGGAAGCCTCTCTGATGATGGCAGATCAGTGGTTTCACTGATCTGTGAATATATTAGAAAGCCATTAGGAGTCATTTTATCACTACATTTCCCCTCACCCCCCACCATTTTTTAGAACAATATTATTTGGTTCTAACCGAGGTCCCTGGGCTATCTACTCTCAGCTTCTTGACCCCAATCAGTGGTGGGCATGGGTCCCGTCTGGTGGAGTGGGCCTTAAGTCAAGTCAGTCATTGGTTGTTAGTCCCACAAGCTTTGTGGCATTGCCCTAGCATGTCTTGCATGCAGTACACCAGTAGATAAAGGTTTTGTGTCTGGCTTGGTGTTTATGTGTCTCCTTTGAGGGTCTGCAGAGTTCCTTCCTGTACCAAAGACACTAGAATGTAGGGGTGAAGGTTCTATGTACGTACTGACTTAGCATCAATGAGTTGTGTAATGTTGTCTTCAGTAATGAGGCCTTGCTGCCTGTTTATGAAGAGTAGCCTATAGTCTTGGCAACAGCACGGGTTGTTTGGGGATTCCCACGGGGCCCCTTTGACTAACAACTCAATTCGACCTAACTCAATCCTGATACTGGAAGCTGGCCAGCTGGTACAAATTCTAACCCCTGTTCTTCACTTCACAAGGTCTACCACCTTGGTCTCTCCCCATTGCAGGGTAGAGGATATTTATCTTCTGGTTTGATAAGAATTGATCAAGGTAATGGTTTCAAAAATGACTCAGAGACAGAATTAACCAATAAACAAGGGATTCTTAGCATAAAAGAAGCTAAATGCAAACCAAGACTGGGTATAAATTGAGATGACCTCATCTTTTTAGTGAGGACATATTCTCCTATTATTTGAGCTCAGATGCTCCGATGCACAGTAATAAATACATTTCTAGTTGCTGGCTCTCCTAGTAGCTTGAGCCTCTCTGCTTCTTCTGGGGTTATAGTTTCTCTGTCTTGAGGCAAGGGAGTGATCTCTAAGATGACTTCATTCTGAGTGACTGTGATCTAGTGGTTTGACTGGTCTGTAGGTGGGTGGGGACACATAAGCACGGTGCGTGAGTTATAAAATTCAACACGGGACTCTCTATCCATAGCACTGAACTACTTCAGGGAGAAAATTGTGTTTGCCTGCAATGCAGATCTCGCTGCTGATAATGGCTGAATTTTAATGGAGCCTTCTAGACCTGAATTCTTTAAGGAATGTTGAGGGGGAGGTACACATGATAAAACTGAGCAGGCATGTGAGGATCTGTTAGAATTTTGTAAAATGCAAATCAGACTGGCTGTGTCTAAGTTCCTAAATCAAGTTACAACAGCCTTGACACTCCCCAACCACAGCTATGACATGCCATCAGGTGGTAACTGCAACCACCTCACAAGTTCCGTAGATTTCATTTCAACTTCACCATCTGCATCACTGTCCAGCACCTTAAATGCTCCTGGTCCAGTGCTTAAGGAAGCTCAACATTCAGGTAGGCTGTGAATGGTCTCTGAGATTCATGGAGGATTTGTTGAGAAGAAGCAAAAGCAGGTATTGGTCATAGGCTGGGGAAGTAAACCCAGTTGTGGCTTTCTGGTGAAAAGCATGAAGAGCCAGCTCTGGAGACCCAGGCAGAGTTCCCTAGGGTCTAGTGAGAGCCCTTCACACACTCACTCCTCTTTAACCCATTCTCCCAGGGCACCCAGAGCAGGGTTCCCAACTCACTCACTCACCAGTCAAAAGCCTTCCAGGGATCCTGCTGCCTTTAGAATCAAGCCAGATCCTTAGGTTAACCCATAATACATTGCAGGATCTTCCTGACCCTCACTTCCACTCCAACTCCCTAGCTGCTTCTCTGGACAACCCAGACTTTCAGTGTCCCAGCCTCTCATAGCCGTGGGACCACTTTATTATGGCCTACTTTCTCTGTAAGAGAGCCAGGTCATTTCTTTACTTACTGCTCAGTTCCCTGAGCCCTGCAAAGTTCCCAGTTCTAGGGGAACATTGAGTAAAAAAAAAAAAAAATGTCAGCCCCTGGTGGGCTATTTAACCTCTCCGTGGGTCTTAGATTCTTTTGCAAACCTAGAACTGCTGTGAGAAGACAGTGTGATACCACCAGCTCACGCTGAGCGTGTGGCATGTGCCCAACACAAAAGGGCAAGGGCTTCCCCTTCTCCGTGTCCTTCTCTTCTCAGAAAAGCTCCTACTCACACCAGCGACAAGATAAAGCCAAGCTGGTGACTATGGAAGCTATGCCCTGAGAGGTTTAAGGAAGGTTATCTGGAATCCATTGGGAAGAAAACATCACTAGTACGTCTTTGTTCGTATGGAATGCCACTTACCCTGTTTCATAAACATTTTAAATTTCCATTATAGAAAAATAAGCGTAAACATCCACTCACCATCTTAACTATTTGAAATGCACAGTTCAATGGTACTAAGTTTTTCATATTTATATTGATGTAAACAGGCTCCACTGTTATCAGTCCAGAATGACTTTCCCTCAGCTATACCACGGTGCTTATCGAACAGCTACTTTGTGTTTTCTGCTTGTGACAGCCACACCGCTCTTCCCTCTGTCTCTAGACATTTGACTGAGTGCAGGTGCATTGTATAAATGGAGTCACAAAGTATTGGTCCTTCTGCATCTGGCTAATTGTGCTTCTTTCACAGAAGGTGTGACGCGGGCCTTTCCCTTTAAGAAAGAGTAAACAATGTTTCATGCCATGTGTTTGCATTGTGAGGTCTTTATTCACCAGAGATGGATGCTGACTGCCTCTCACTTGACTGCCCTGACTCTACTGTGAGCACAGATATGCAAATACTTCGGTGAGTGTGGCTTTCGGGTCTCATGGAGTTACCAGGTTACCTGTGACTCTGTTCATCTTTCTGAGGGAAAGACATGGTGTTTTCTGCGGCAGCTGCGTCCCACGTCACTCCAGCCAGCAGTGCTTACAGGTTTCAATTTAATTGACAATTTTTTCAACACTCACCATTTTCTATTTGGGGATTAAAATATAATAATCTTCCTAGCTTTTGTGACAGCCTCTACCTCCCAATCCTCTCACCCTCCCTAAAGTAACAGCCCAGACAGGAAGCCACCGAAGAGAACTCTTATAAAGTGTGACAGAGACACTGAAGTGTGGCTCTCCACAACTGATGGCTTTGTCTGGGGTGTGGGAGGGGAAGGACCCAGTTCTATTTCAGGGGCAGGAGGCCCCTGAGAGTTTGGCCATGCTCCAATGAGTACAGAGATAACACAAAGTGGACCTTTTGATTTTTTACTTCTTTTTTGCACATGGAGGGCCTCACAAGCGGGGAGGGCGAACATGGAAAGACTGGGAAGGGATTGTAATGGGGTACATGATGCAAAACTCAGGGAGAATCAATAAAGGTGCTATGTGAAGAAAAAAGAGAGGCATTCCAGAATTTTACTTTATTTTTGACTTTTAAACTTATTTCATTTTCTGTGTATGGGTGTTTATGTCCATGTATGTATCACATGCATGCCTGGTGCCCACAGAGGCCAGAAG